TCTATGCCCCAAATACAAGGGCACCCTCATACACAAAAAAACCCCAAAACACTTCTAAAGCTTAAATCATACATTAAACCCCACACACTTGTTGATGTGGGAGACTTCAACACTCCACTCTCACCACTGGACAGGTCAGTCAGACAAAAAATAAACAGAGAAATAAGGGAAATAACAAATGTTATGACTCAAATGGACTTAACAGACATCTATAGAATATTCCATTCAATCATAAAAGAATATGCCTTCTTTTCAGCACCTCATGGAACCTTCTCAAAAATTGACCCCATACTTGGTAACAAAAAACCTCAACAGAAACAAAAATAATTGTATTAACCCCATGTATCTTATCATATCACCATGGTTTAAAACTAGAAATCAACAGCGATACTAATTCCAGAAACCCATAAACCCATGGAAATTAAACAGTTCTCACATGAATTATCAATGATAAAGGAAGAAATAAAGGGAGAAATGAAAGACTTCCTAAAATTCAATGAAAATGACCATACAACATACCCAAATTTATGGGACACAATGAAAGTAGTGTTAAGAGGAAAATTCATAGCACTAAATGCCTACATATAGAAGCTGGAAATATCCCACACTAGTGACTTAACAGAACATTTGAAAACTTTAGAACAAAAAGAAGTAAACTCACATAAGAGAACTAGACTGCAGGAAATAATCAAATTGAGAGCTGAAATCAACAAAATAGAAACAACAACAAAAAACAAAGAATCAGTGGGACACAGAGTTAGTTCTTCGAGAAAATCAACAAAACAGACAAACCTTTATCTAAACTAACTAAAAGCCAGAGAAAGAATATCCAAATTAACAAAATCAGAAATGAAAAAAGGGACATAACAACAGACATGGAGGAAATACAGAGAATCATCAGGTCATATTTCAAAAACCTGTATTCCACTAAATTGGAAAACTTAAAGGAAATAGACAACTTTCTGGATAAATATCACTTACCAAAATTAAACCAAGACCAGAATAACAAATCAAGCAGACCTATAACTGCCGAAGGAATAGAAACAGTCATCAAAACTCTCCCAACCAAGAAAAGCCCAGGACCAGATGGTTTCAGGTCAGAATTCTATAAGATCTTCAATGAAGAACTAATAACAATACTCCTCAAATTATTCCACACAATAGAAACAGAAGGAATATTGCCAAACTCTTTTTTTAATTTATTTATTTATTAAGGATTTCTGCCTCCTCCCCGCAACCGCTTCCCATTTCCCTCCCCCTCCCCCGGTCAAGTCCCCCTCCCTCATCTGCTCGAAGAGCAATCAGGGTTCCCTGACCTGTGGGAAGCCCAAGGACCACCCACCTCTATCCAGGTCTCGTGAGGTGAGCATCCAAAGAAAGACAAACTCTTTTTTTATGAGACTACAATTACCCTGATACCCAAACCACAGAAAGACATTACAAAGAAAGAAAGTTACAGACCAATCTCACTCATGAACATTGATGCAAAAATACTAAGTAGAATACTGGCAAATCAAATCCAAGAACGCATCAGAACCATCATCCACCATGATCAAGTTGGCTTCATCTAGGAGATGCAGAGATGGTTCAACATATGAAAATCTGTCAACATAATCCACCATATAAACAAACTGAAAAGTAAAAAACACATGATCATCTCATTAGATCTGAAAAAGCTTTTGACAAAATACAACATTCCTTCATGATAAAGGTCTTGGAGAGAGCAGGAATGAAAGGAACATATCTAAACATAATAAAGGCAATATACAGCCATCCAACAATCAAAATCAAACTCCCAGTGATCACACTGAAATCAGGAGCAAGACAAGGTTGTCCACTCTCTCCATATCTATTCAATATAGTTCTTGAGGTCCTAGCTAGAGCAATAAGACACAAAAATGAGATCGAAGGAATACAAATCGGAGAAGTCAAACTCTCACTGTTTGCTGATGATATGATAGTTTACATAACTGATCTCAAAAATTCTACCGCAGAACTTCTACAACTCATAAACTTAGTAATATAGAAGGATAAGGATACAGCACCATTTGTTAAATATGCCTTTTTTTAAAATTTGATATTTTTTGATTTTTTTTTGTCAAAAATAAGGCATTTGATGGTGTGTGGATTAATATCTGGATATTCGATTTGGTTCATTGGTCCTTCTGTCTGTTTTTATACCAATACCAGGCTGTTTTCAGTACTGTAGCTCTGTAGTAGAGTTTGAAGTCAAGGATTGTGATGCCTCCAGAAGTTCTTTTATTGTACAGGATTGTTTTGGCTATCCTGGGTTTTCTGCTTTTTCTATATGAAGTTGGGTACTGTTCTTTTAAGGTCTGTGAAGAATTTTTCTGGGATTTTGATGGGCATTGCATTGAATCTGTAGATTGCTTTTGGTAAGATTGCCATTGTTACTATGTTAATTCTAACTACCCAAGAGCATGGGAGATCTTTCCACTTTTTGGTGTCTTCTTCAATTTCTTTCTTCAAAGATTTAAAGTTCTTGTCATACAAGTCTTCCATTTGTTTGATTAGAGTTACTCTGAGATATTTGATGCTATTTGTTTCTCTGATTTCTTTCCCAGCCCTTTAATCATCTGTGTACATGAGGTCTGTTTGAAAATGTTTTCCAGCAAAGGAAGAAGCCATTGTCCAGAGAGAGACAGCCCTTGAGCTGGAAACACCCCAGGCCCAGCCTGGCAAGATTCAGGAGAAGACAGAACGCCATGGTCCTGCCTTGGCATGCTGTACATTCCCCTGTTGTTCTTGAAGGGTTGGCTGCTCTATTTGTTGTCCTGTTTCTGTTGTTGGTGGGGGAGGGTGTGCCAGGAATCTCCCTTGACAAAGCTCCTGGTAACTCTCCCTAGGCTACAGGGACTTTGGTGAGACAAATGGAAATTTAGTTTCTCAGAGGTGATTTGAAAGCTGGCTTTTGTTTGGCCAATGGTTACTCAGAGACATCTTCCTAGTTGATGATGTTAAATAAATGACCTTTTCATAAGCACCTGCTTGTCTCAGCAGTGCGGTGTGTAGAAGCTCATTTTCAGGGGACACCACTCAAAGTGTGGCTCCCAGACAATTCTGTCAGAAGGTGGCAAGACAACAAACACAGATGACTTAGAGAACTGGTAACAATTTGCACACTTTGGGGAGAAGAATTTACTGTGGTCATCTGAGGCGAGTGACAGAGATTAGATAAACAAGTTTGGGCTGCACATTGGTTGGGCAAGTTTAAAGAGTGACTTATTGTGTCACTTTATCAAGTGGTTAATTTACTTACTGGTTATTCTTCCACTGTATTTATTAAACACCTGACATCAGCCACCCGCTCTTCAGGTTTTCACAGTGGAGCAGGGAACAAGTCAACAGGTTGTCCCTTCACAGGCCTGTCATGAATATGATGAAGTTTGCAGCAAGAAGCCCTTCTGAGAAAACCTTAGTTAACAGATAATCAAGAGGTTGCATGTAAGAGCAGCCAGGAGGTCAGGGGACTGGACACTATCATGGCTGCTCTTGAGGGCTAACTTGACTGTACCAGGTATCAACTAAAACCCAGGCTGCTGGCATCCTGTGAGGGATTTTCTATTAAATTATTAGAAGCAGGAAGAACCACCCTAAATCTGAAGCACATCTTCTGCTGGCAGAACACATGAGAGAAGGTGTTGCATTTTTGCTGAGGAAAATCATAATAAAAGCCCTTGGATGATGTGACCTTGTCTGCAAAACACAGGGACCCAGAATTACTGTGTGAAATAAAAGACACCAGACACCAAAGATCACAGTTATGTGCTTCTGCTTACATGAACTACACACATTAGGCAAGTCCACAGACACAGAATTCAGACCCTATGCAGAGTCCATTTATTGCAGCCTGGAGGACCAGCCTCCAGACAGTACAGGGTTCGAAGGGATGTTCACAGCTAAGATTTTTCTGCCTGAGGGTTAGGGAAAAAAGAAACTCAGACTCTCTCCTGATGATTTACTTTTTAAAAATTCTCTTTTCATGTTGTTCTTTCTAATTCTCTCTCTCTCTCTCTCTCTCTCTCTCTCTCTCTCTCTCTCTCTCTCTCTCCACCACTTATATGCCCCCACCAAAATTTTCAGGGAATGCAAGAGTCACAAAGGGCTTTAATTTTCTTTCTCTGAGGCAGGGGAAAAGCAATTCAAACTAGCTCACAACTGTGTAAACATTTTGAACTAACACCTGTAATTAGAAGTTGTAAAATCCAGAATCTCTTTGGGTCTCAGAGGTGCCTGGAGTGTCATAAATTCTCTAGTTCAGGCTCAAGTTAACATTCCAGAAATACCTAGCTTCAGCTCCAGTCCACACTACCAGGATACTATGGCACTATGTTGCTTTAAATCTCAAAATGTACTTTCTACCCTGTGTGTGACCTCAGATCATAAAAGGAAACCTGTAGTTCCCTTTAGGGGGGGCTACAGAGCCAAATTACTCTCTCTGTTCCTGACTAGTCAGAATTTTTTCCCCAAATCGTGCCACCGAACAAAGTTGCTTCTGTTTTTAGACTTTGTGTTCTACTCCCTGGTATTTGTGCAGTCCCAGGACCCAACACTTATATACATAAGAAACAGTCAGCTGAACTTGAGTCCTCATGGTGCACACTCATATCAGCAATAGGATGTCAGGAGCGGGTGCAATGATGTAATCACCTGACAGTCGGCAATGATTGGGCTGTTTAGTATTTTGACTCTATCCTAAATGAATCAGCACCTTGCCTATGTGAATGTTAGATTGGTTTTCTGGGGTAGTTTACCTTTAAAAGACCATTAGCAAGGCATCTGGTCCAATCTAAAGTTATTTTGAAGCTTTGTTTCAACTAATGGTGCACACCAAAACCTGTGATAGATTTCTCAGCGTTAAGATTCAAGGAATTTGAGACAGCTGGCTCATTGTTTTTCTTAACTTGAGCTGTGATCTGCAGCAATTCCTTAGGGGGAGCTCATAGGCACAGACTGTGTATTACTTCCTTGTGCTCATTTTTATTTCACAAAATTCTTAATAAGCTAACATTGCTTTAATTAAACAGTACAGTTAGGGAGGAATCATCTTGACAATTCACAGAGTAAAATGCCCAGTAGAACAGGCTGTTTTCATGAGAGAAACACACTATGTTACAAGTAGCAGGATCTCCCCACATCTACTCACACCAAGCCAGATACCAGGGAAAGATTGTAGCAGCAAATATGTGAAGGCAAAGTGGAATTGAAAGATATTGCAGAGTCTGTGTTCTCATAGTCTTACATAAAACAAGATTTACCCATCAGAACGTTTTCCTCCTGTTGAAATGACACCTTGAACTTCACCTGCTGATCCTCTGACATGGCCAGCATCCATTACATTAGATGATGGAGCACCAGAAGTCTCTACATGGAAACTGTGGTTGCTGGGTGCAATAGGGAACTGACTCACCATGAGATATGACCTTCTGAAGTCTCTTGGTTCACACATCAAGAAAGACAGTGATTGACTTCCCCAGTGCCTTTCTCAGGGCAGAAGAACACACCTCAGAGCTTTGCAGAAGCTGCAGTAATGTTGAAGGATGTGAGAAGTGACCTACGGCCTGGTTGGCAGCAGGTCTCACAGAGGAAGAAAGATGGGGCCATTCTCAACAGGAGTGGGGACACCTGGCCACCTCAGCCCAGTCAGCGGGCCACGAAGCTGATCTGATATGTTGGAGCTACGTTGGTCAAGCCACTCTCCTTGGGCCTGAGATCAATGTCCTTAGGAGCCACGGGACTGGACACAGAGAAGTTCTGGAGGATGGTGGTGAAGAAAAGGAACAATTCGTTGCGGGCAATGCCTTCGCCAAGACAAATGCGCTTTCCTGTGGGCACAGAGAATGAGCCATGTGAGCCCCAGGTGAGTATACAAACTTCAGACTGTCCCTTCCCTAAACCCAAACAACTCTGTCCATTGCAATGGAGAAGAAAGAGTTTGACCCTTAATCTGCAATTCAAGTGAGAATGGAAGGCAGCCTGCCATCAATCTTGAGGACATGAGTTCACCCTTTGGACCCACATGTTGCAAGGAAAGAACAAACTCCCACAGTCTGTCCTCTGTCAAAAACATATATACACCCTCCACAGTGCACATGTATATGCATGCCAACATATATGCAATAATTCAATCATAAAATGCAAGCCAAATTGTTGGTGGATGTCTCCTGGTCATTTCTTACAGATTTCTAGGTTTTGCTTATTATCAGAGTCCTTTGTTTCAGAATTTTAAGAACACAAGAGAGTAGGAACAAATGTGCATGTGTAAACATGTGTATTGTAACATCTTTAATGTTCCCTCCTTTATCACATGGGGAGATTGGTCCCCATCTTATTGGCTGCCCTGAAGGTGAAGGTGCTGTTTACAGAGACTCTTAGACCAACAACTGAATGGCATTAAGGGCCCTAGATGAGCCAGTCATGGGGGCACATGCCTGCAAGTGCACTTGGAGGATTACAACATGAAGATGATGTACCTACCAAGAGCTCTCTGTCTGTCCCCTGCCTCTGTCCTCGTCTGTCATCTCCAGTCCTTTCTCTCTCTCTGTCTCTCTCTCCCTCCTGTTTCTCTCTTTCTCTTTCTCAGTCCCCCTTGCCCCCTTGCTTCTTCAGCTTAAGATCGATCAACTTCAACTAGTTACAGAATACAATTTTTCTTATAATTGAGAATGAGCAGGGGACATGATTAGGGGTCTATGGCACCCAACAAATTCTCAGAGGTGTAAGGAGCCCTTGTTTGTTTGTTTCCTCCAGCATGAAGCAGCACAGAGCAAGGGAGCCTGAAAGCCCAGGCAAAGGCTTCACCACCGTCCTGTACCTCAGTGATTCTTAATATGCAGTTGGCTGCCTCAGGCCTTCAGGTGGAAGAGGGATTTCCCAGTAACCACTGTGTCCTCCAGTTCTTGGGAAATCAGTCCTGTGTAGGAGTAAGCACCCTACCTACCTGCTTAGACCCCACCTTTTCAGAATTTAGGTGGCACAAGCTTAGAAATTCATGGAGCAGTCTCTGAGATGGTTCTCCTAGAACTGGTTTTGAGACCCAGGTTTTTCCAGAGCTGCTTTTCACATCTTATCTCACTGTCTACACAAAATCCCCATACCTGTGCTGGGTATTTAGGACACAATTTATGTCTCTTGGGCGCTAACACATTTTGTCTATCTCCCTCTCTTTACTTTTTTCTTTCTGCCAATGGTAGCCTACCTGACCTGTGTCTGTACCTATCACTACTATTTGTCTTTTGATCCATTCCATCCACTTGTGTCTTTCTAAAATCCCTAGATTGCATCTCAGCCCCTCCTGTTTTTCTGTCTAAGGACAGCTTGTCATGTCTTCTTCTGTGTCTTCCCTTCTGCTTCTTGGTCTCTTTCTAGTTATGCCTTTCTCCCCCTCCCTTCTCTCTCCCCTTCCTCTCTTCCTGACTTACATCATCACCTCTGGTTCTTCACCCTTCTTCTTCTCTCTCATGTCCATGCTCTGATTGCTACCACACATCTCCTCCTATTGTAGATTCCTTGTGTGTCTGTGCCTCTCTTTATTGGAATCTGTCTTGCTATTCTTACCTCTCTATTGTTGATTTGTCTCAGTCCCTTTTCTTCACATCCCTGCCTTTCCACACTAGGGACAGTCATATGAACAATTCAGGAGCAGGGTGAGCCCAGGGACACTGAAGTCTCTTGGCACTCAGGACTAGACATTTCCTAGAGGAGACATGGCTCAGCAGGAGAACACTTGCTTTAAATCCCTGTGAGAGGATGAGGACAAACATGATCATCAGGAAAGCATTTCTAGAATGCACAAGGAGGAGTCTGGAGATGTGGGCTCTTTGGAAGAGAACTTGCTTATCATAGTGACCTACACATCTCGGCTCCATACTTTGCATGAGGTTGGGGGGACAACTAAAGACTAAGGAATTGTTTCTAGAATCTCTCTCTCCCTCTCTCTCTCTCTCTCTCTCTCTCTCTCTCTCTCTCTCTCTCTCCAAAACATAAGAAACCAGAACACAAAGTTTCCATGTTTACATCCCATAGAGTCCATTCAACTGAATTAACCTAGATATCATCTTATTATGTAACAAACTAAATAAACACTACAGGCAATTGAACTACACACTAGAGAGATTATATTCTTCCAGTGAAAAACACATCTCAGTCAATCACAGCAGTTGAGCTGCTCCAGGCTGCCAACTACCTCAGCATGGCTAAGTAAGGCAAAGGAAGATCTGGAACCCATCAAGCTGCGTGTTCATGCTCAGCTCCCTCTGGTCTACAGACACCGTGTGCTGACACTGCTGGGTGCTATAACTGAACTTTCTCTGGTTCAGGAGTTTGTCCATCATGAATGGGTTCTTAAAAAAATAAATGCTAGTAATTATGATCTCTCTTACAGTTTAACAAGCCAATGAGTATTTAATACAAACAGACAGGTGTGTTAGGACATGCCTCATTTCCCCAGTGCTCACAGATAAATCCCTCCCTAGCCCCAAGACCTTACAAGCTCATGGCAGTTCATAGATGATGTCATTTGTTCTTGTTGTTGTTCCCTAAGAAAAACAATTCGCACTCTCTCTGCTAACCCACACTCCACTCCTGCCCTGGGTCCAGGTGGACTGACTGCAGATCTTCATCTCTCCCTCTGTTCCCCAAGACCCACACCCCAGTCCTCACCTCACCTCTGCAACAGAACCCTTGCTGCAGCCTTCCCTACCCACACTCCCCATCTCTTTGGATTTCCCTGATCTTCCCCAGGATGCACCATTACTAAGCCAAAGTCCACTCTGACCAGGGAAGCAGGTAGTCTGACAGAGAATCCATGCCTCTCCTTCTGATTCTCCAGATCCACCCTTACTGCCCCATCTCACCTCCAGCTCTGCAGCAGAATGCCTGGTGTGCTCTCCCTTGCCTCCCTGATCCCATCCCCAGTTAATCACAGAGATCTTCTCCTCCAATCCTCCTTTTCCCAACTCATCCCATTATCCCAGCCTCCATCACCAGCAGGAATTCCTGGGACACACCAGCTGGGCAGGATAGGGAAACAGGTCCACAGAAAGCTTCCTATGACAACACACAGCCATCATGCTCACCTAAACCCCAGAAACCAAGAAACCAAACATCCACCTAACAAAGACAAACCCAGATATCGGCACCTAGACCTATAATCACTGCCAAACAAGATTCCTGGATGCCAGCATAAAAACACAATCAGTCACAGCCAGGAAAATGTGTCTCCACTAGAGCTCAGTAATCCTGTCTACAAAGGTATAAGAATCTTATAGAACACCAAGTAGATTGTATCAGAAAAGAAAGACCCATTAACACATAAATGCACAGAACAGGGAAAGATTATTAAAAGTTTCAAAACAAAAAGACCAAGCAACATGTAAAGGCAAACCTATTAGAATTATACCTGACTTCTCAATTGAGACTCTGAAAGCCAAAAGGGCCCAGACAGATGTACTGCAGATACAAAAAACCCACAGATATAAGCCTTGACAATAATATCAAGCAAACTTTTTAATCACCATAGATAGAGAAAATAAGGTATTTGATGATAAAATCAAATTTAAATAATATTTATAAAAAATCTAGCCCTAAATAAGATGCTCAAAGAAAAGGTCCAATGTGAAAATATTATCTGGATACAGGAAAGCACAGGGAATAAAATAATCCAAACCAGAAAAATCAAAGTAGGAAAACACACACCCTGCATCACCACCACCAATATCAACAACAATAATAGCACCAACTAAATAACAGAAATCAACAGTCATAGCCCATTGATTGATATCTCTCAACATTAACGGTCTCAAGTTCCAAAATTAAAAAAAATTAACATAATGGATGAAAGAGTGGATTCACTCATTGACTGCAGCCAAGAAAATCGTGTTAACATCAAAGACAAATATTACCTTGGGGTAAATGGGTTAAAACAAGGTGTTCCAAGGAAATGGACTTAAGAATTGTACCGGTGTGGTCATTTTAATATCCAACAAATTAGATTTAAATCTCATCAGAAGACACAGGGATGCACACTACATACTCATCAGAGGAAACATCCACCAAGAGCACATTTAAATTCTTAACATCTATGCCCCAAACACAAGGACACTAAAGTTTGTAAAAAGAAACACTACTCCAGCTTAAATCACACATTGACTCTCACACACTGACAGTGGGAGACATAAGCATTACACACTCATCAATAGACAGGTCATTCAGAAAAAAACTAAACAGAGAAATGCTGGAGCTAACTGATGTTATAAAGGGCCACACTTTAGGAAGGGTGAGAACCACTACTCTAAAGAAAAAAAGAAAAGAAAAGAAAAGAAGTCACACCCAAAAGTGCAGATGGCAAGAAATAATCGAACTCAGGGTTGAATTCAATAAAATAGAAGCAAAGAGAGCAATACAAACAATAAAAGGAAAGATGAATTGATTCTTAGAAAAAAATCAATAAGGTTGACAAACCTTTATCCAAATTAAAAGGTGGAGAGAGACTGACCAAATTAACAAAATCAGAATGAAAAGCTGATACATAAGAGACCCTGAGGAGATGAGAGAATTTAAAGGACATACTTAAAAAAACTTGTATTCCACCAAATTGGAAAATCTAAAAGAAATGGATACTTTTCTTGATAGGCACTACTTACCAAAGTTAAATCAAGATCAAATAAGGAATTTTAACAGACCTATAATCCCTAGAGAAATGGAAACAGTCACTGAAATTCTCCCAATGTACCCTGCCCCCAAATCCCGGAAAAAAAAAAAAGAAAGCCTAGGGACAGAGAGTTTCAACAGAAGGATGAATAAAATGTGTTACATTTATACAATGGAGTATTATTTGGATGTTTTTTTTTAAAAAAAAAACAGCATCATGAAAATTTAGGCAAAGGGATGGAACTAGAAGAGAATCCTGAGCCCAGACCCAAAAACATAAACATGGCATGTATTCACTTATAGGTGAATATTAGTCATTAAATAAATGATAACCACGACCCAGAACATTAGATACAGACAAAAGTACTAGGAGGGGAATATAAATCTCCCTGGGAGGGGAAAATAGAACAGAGTTCATGGGTATACTAGGGGCATCAGAGGGGACAAGAATGGGACGTTTAGGTGGGAGGAGAGCTGGGCTTGAGGGATAGAGTGTGGGCAGAGACAGTTAGAATTGAGGGGCATTGGGTGCTGGTATGGAAACCTAGTGCAGTAGAAACTTCCTGAACTACAGGAAGGTGAGCCTCATGAATTCTCCAAATAATGAGGGAGGCACAGTCCCACCTGCTCAGATCTTGTCATTAAATGAAGCTTCTAATTCTTTGATTAGGTAACATTCAATTGGGTTTCTGGCCAACCCCAAACAACCCAAGGCTGTTGTCAAGACAATAGGTTGGCTCCACAAACTGACAGCAAGGCTTCATCACTGAAGACAATTCCCACACAACTCACTGGACTGGAGACATGTAGCTGGTGTCTATATAGAACCTTCACACCCGTGATTTAGCATCTTTGGTATAGGAAGTATTCTACAGGCTACCAAATGAGAAATGTATACACCAACCCACCCACAAAACCTTTGATGAACCATGCTATCCTGCTTGTACGAAATATCAGGGCTCAACAGTGGCACAATCCAGTGCATTGTGGGAGTAATTATCCAATGTATGGTTTGAATATGCGGCATTGCTTGAGTGAGCAGGAACCAGGGACTAGGAGAAAAATGCTACAGCTCAAAAAGAAAAATAAAAGTAAGAACAAAATGACCCCTGAAGATATTCTGCTACACTCATAGATCAGAGTCCTCCTTATTCATCCATCACCAGAGAAGCTTCCTCCTGCAGCATATGAAAACAAATTCAGAGACACAGCCAGACGTTTCACAGGGAGAGAAACCTTGGAACACAGAACTCTAAATGGAATGTCTTTGTCAAAACCCTCCCCTCAGAGCTCAGAGAACCAGAGGAAGAGGAGGCAGAAAGAAGGTAAGAGATGGAGGGGATGGAGGACACCAAGAGCACAAGGCTCTGAACCAACCGAGCAAAGCTCATATGAACTCAGACTGAGGCAGCAGGCACAGGGCCTGCTCGGGTCTGCACCAGGTCCTCTGTGCACATCTTATAGCTTTCAGTTTAGTGTTTCCATGGATTCCTGAGTGTGTGAATGAGTGGGTCTCTGCTTCTAGTGCCTTCTCTTGGGCTCTACTCCTTCTGTTGGTTTGCACTGTACAGCTTCTATGTGATGGTTTTTTGTTTTATCTTTTACTTTATTTCAGCATGTTTGGTTGCTATTGCTTAGAAGCCTGTTTTTTTTCTAATGAGAGACAGAAAGGGGATGGATCCTGGAGGGAGGGAAGGTGGAGAGGGAAGGAGAAACTGTAATCAGCATATATGGTATGAGGAAAGAATCTATTTTTAATAAAAGGGGAAAATAAGTAAACAAATGTCTAATAGGAAAAGACAGAACTGATGGATTTGATGCAACTGGAAAACAATGTGGACGAACTGTCTTCTGCTCTTTTGAGGATTTTACGTGGGCATTGCTGCACTGACTTTGAAGACATCCTGAACGTCCTGACCTGGGAATATCTGTGCTCCCTTCCTCTCTATTAATTAATCTGTTGTTTATTGCTGGGAGCAGCGAGAGGAACCTGGTTGTGCACTTAGCCCATTGTGTTCTCTGTGAACATCCTTTGTTCTCCTCTGTCAGGCATTTAATCACAATTAAAGATAAGTGTTGTCACTCGTTTAAAAAGGTTTTTCTCTCATAATAAAGTAAAAAAAAATGAATTTGTTTAGATTTAGAGGTTTTTAAATGCCTCTCCCAAATCCTCCTGAGTAGGATGCAACTTTAGGTTAAGGGACAGTAGCCAGGACAAATGGTTTCCCAGGTAGAATAGATTGAGTAAACCCGGAACTAGTCCTTACTGTATCCTGGAGGGTGAGCCTGCCCTCTAGTGTAGGGAAAAGGAAACACAGGTCCGTCTCACCTATAGAGAAGGGCATAAATGCTTCAGTTTTCTTCAGAGCCCCACTGGCATCCAGGAAGTGGTCAGGATTGAAGGCATCTGGTTGTTCAAAGTACCGTGGGTCATGAAGAGCTGCACTCAGGATGGGGTACACTTCAGTGTTCTAGGAGACATTGTGAGAGACAAAGATATTAGCATACGCTGATTCCCATGTGCAGGCAGTTAGTCTTAGGGAATCCCAGAATGCTGGGAAACCACAAACAGGCTGAGGGTGGTGGATAATCATTGCATAGAGATGTGGAATCACAGCTGGTCTCACCTTGGGGAGCAGGTACCCTCGGAACAAAGTGTCTTTGGTGACTTTGTGCGGTACTCCAGTGGGGATAATATCTGCAAATCGCTGGATCTCTCGAATAACAGCCTCAGTGTAAGGCATTTTGTTGCGGTCATCAAGGGTTGGTGGGCGGTGTGAGCCGATCACCTGATCGATCTCCTTTTGGACTTTCTCTGTACAGAAAAGGGAGACAACAGACAACGCTCGCCCTTCTCACGGAGGCAAATGCACAGTGACCCTGTTTTCTGTGAGTCAACAGCTTAGGAACAGTGCAGAGCCAGGAGACTCTGCTGAGAAAGACACACTGCACTCTGGGACACGCACACCTGCGCCTTTCTCCAGCCACACTGAGGGCTATGTTAGAGACTCTCTCCAAAGCTCCAACCTTGCTCATAAGAGAGGAAAGGAAAACCCACCGCAAAGGGCTCTTTTTGTCTATCAGTCTGAGTGAGGGATGGAGGGGAAGATGGTAAGAATTTCCCCCAATTGTAATGTAATGTTATAACTTGTGTTTCTGCATAACACACAGACACCCCCCCACACACACACATACACAAACATACAGAGAGAAAGACAGACAGACAGATTTCTTGCTTGCAATTTATATTTAAAAAGCCAGAGTTCTGGAGAGATGTCTTAGTGGTTAAGAGCACTTGCCGCTCTTGGAGAGGACCCGGGTTCAATTTCCAGCACCCTCATGGCAGTTCACACTGTCTGTGACTCTGGGTCCAGGGGATCCAAACCCTCATACAGAAATATATGCAGACAAAACAGCAATGAACACTAGTAAATAAAGTTTAAAAATACAGGCCAACAATATAAGGCTTTATACTCAGGAATAAAAGGAAAGTAAATTAATCTGTGTATGAACAGAATATGAACACATTGGTGAATATGATGACCAATGAAAGGGCTCAGTCAGCAAATGCATTGGTTTCCATCCTGACAGCCTGACTTTGACATCAGAACACATGGGAATGTGCAGGAGAGACCCAACTGCACAAAGTTGTCCTCCCACCTCCACACATGAGCCATGCAGACAAACTCACAACAACATCACATCAATTTCAAATTCTTTGGATCTGAGTGTGTAAGTCAGCCAAGTGATCGATGGGTTGGTTAATAAAGGAAAGATTGCTGATTGAGTGAAATGAACAAAGAAAAACTGGATGTCCATATTCCACTTCTCACTCACTGTATTAATTAATTAACAAGTCAAAAAAATGGTGCATACACAAATGAATCAGTGAACATAACTAACCAATAATGAAGTGATGTTAGGTTTACCAAAGGAATAGATGAATGAATAAATGAGCAAATATAGGAATAAACAAGTAGGTGTATTGAATGATAAACAAATCACAGATAAATGAATGCATTATTAAATACATACATGAAGGAGTGGATTGACACGTGAAGGGTGAATTCAAAGGCCAGTGGACGGATTAAGGAATGAGCAGATTTGTGTATGAATGATCCAACGAATCAAAGACAGCCAGCCCACTCAAGCAGCCGTGATATAGAATAAAAATTACCCATTTTCTCTAGTTCTTCTCCCTCTCCCCTTCTTTCCAACTATTCCCCTTCTAGCCTCCTTTCTCCCCCCACCCTCATGCTCCAAATTTTGTCAGGCATACTTGTCTATTTCCCCATTCCAGGTGGATTTATGCATATTTTTCTTAGGGTTCACCTTGTTACTTAGCTTCCCTAGGGATAGGGACTTTAGGCTCGTTATCCTTTGTTTTACAGCTAGTATTCACCTGTAAGTGAGTACATACCATGTTCATTTTTCTGGGTCTGGGTTACCTCACTCAGGATGTTTTTTTTTCTAGTTTCATCCATTTGCATGCAAATTTCAAGATGTCATTTTTTTTTTTTACCACTGAATAGTACTCCAATGTGTAAATGTGCCACGTTTTCTTTATCCATTCTTTGATTGAGGGGCACCTAGGTTGTTTCCAGTTTCTGGATATTACAAACAATGCTGCTATTAACATAGTTTGAAATAATGTTCTTGTAGTATGATTGGGAATCTTTTGGGTATATGTCCAAGAATGGTATTGCTGGGTCCTGAGGTAGGTTGATTCCCAATTTTCTGAGAAACTGTCATACTGATTTCCAGAGTGGTTGTACAAGTTTGCATTCCCACCAGCAATGGATGAGTGTTCCCCTTACTCTACATCCTCTCCAGCATAAGCTGTCATTAGTATTTTTGATCTTAGCCATTCTGACTGTTGCAATATCATATCAAGATTGAGGAAGGACAGAGATGAGGGCAAGGAAAGAGATATTTTGTGTGAGGGAGCTATTATGGAGTTAGCAAGAAACTTGGCACTAGAGAAATTCCCATGAACCCACAAAGACGACCTCAGCTAAGATCCTAATCAATAGAGGAGAGGGTGCTCAAACTGGACTTGCCCTATAGTCAGATTGATGAATATCTTAAATATCACCATAGAACCTCATCAAGCAACTTATGGAAACAGAGGCAGAGACCCGCAGCAGATCACTGGACTGAGCTCCCAAAGTTCAGTTGAAGATTGGGAGGAGTGAGAATATGAGCAAAGAGGTCAAGACAATGATGGGAACACCCACTGATGCTGTTTACCTGGGTTAATGGGAGCTCACCAACTCCAGTCAAACAAGGAAGGGGCCAGCATAGGATCAAACTAGTCCCTCTGAATATGGGTGACAGTTGTATGGCTGGGGAAGACAGACGGGTCACTGGCAGTGACACCAGGAGTTATCCATACTGTTTGGGTGGGCTTTTAGGGGATCTATTCTCTTTGAATGGATACCTTGCTCAACCTAGATATAGTAGGGAGGGCTTTGGATCTTCTCCAAAGCAATGTGCCTTACCCTCTCTGAGGAATGGATGGAGGGGTGGAGAGGTGATAAGTAGAGGTGAGGGGAGGAGGTGAGGGAGAGGGAACTGGGATTGGTATGCTAAATGAAAAGGATAGTTTGTTTTATTTAAAGATTAAATTAAATTAAAAAAATAAAAATTGCAAAGTGATTAATCCAAATAAATGAATGAAATATATTCCCTTAGGTGAAGCAGAGAAGAAAGAACCAAGGATTAATAATGTATGGATAGAGAGAAGATGGGCAGAGGATTACATAAGTGGGTGAGTAGGTGTGTATGGAAAAATGAATGTATGGATGGGTAGATAATGGATGGGTAAATGAATAGAATGGGTAAATGGATGAAGAGGAGTATGGACAGAAAGAAGAGTGAATGGATGGATGTAAAGACAGAAGGAAAGAAGGAGGGAAGGAAGGATGGGTAGGTAGATGTATGGATGGAAGGATCAACCTTCAAGTTATAGCAGAAAACAATGGAAATGGACCAGCTGAGCGTTCATTCGCACACCTCCCACAGCACTGCCTTAGGTTAGAAGTAGACCAAAGCCTTCAGAGCTCCAGATGTAAGAGGCCCATGTCTCTCTTATCCTCACAAACCTCTGCAGAAAAAAAGGAAGCCAGAAGATTCCCCAACTGGCTGTTTGTGGCTCACCTGCAACATGGGGGTATTTGAGCAGGAGCAGGAAGCCAAAGCGGAGCGTAGTACTGCTGGTCTCAGTGCCAGCAAGGAAGAGAGACAGCACGGAGATCATGAGGTTCTGGTGATGGAACTCCGTGTGTTGGTTGGACTTCTCCTGGTTCCAGATGGGAGAGAGAAGGGAGGGTCAGGGTGCCTGGAGCCTTGCAGGGAGATTCACACACATCCTGGGAACTGTCCTTCTGTTTCACTATCTGGACCACATGGCATTTTCCAGTCCTTGACAATGTCACTTGGTCTCTTCTCTGTCTTCTCTCTCTACTGTGCTCTCTTGTAATTTAGCACGGTTTGTCTCCCAGGCTCTTTCTTTCTCTGAGGTCTTTCCTGCCTTTTGTCCCTCACTCTGTGTTTCTTCCCCACCCTTCTTTCTCCATATCACATTTTCTCCTCCTTTTATTTTCATCATTTTCCAGACACTTCTGCATCTCTTCTACTCCATTTCCTGTCTCTCCTCTCCATTCTCTTCCCCCTTTTCCTCTGTTCACATCCTCAGCCTTCACTCTCAGCCATCCCCTCTCATTCACACAGGATTTAACCTTCTCCATGTGTATAAGGTAGGTATCAATGAAGTCTCTTGGATTGTTGGGGTCCAAGGTTTCCCTGTGCTTCTCCACACTGTGGCCAATGTAGTAGAGGATTTCCTGCAGGTTTTTGTAGATTTGTCTGTGGGTACCAGGAAAGTACTTCAGGAAGCCAGAGAAGAGCTCAAACACCTGTAAGAAAAAAGGGCTGAGGAGGTCAACTGGAACTAGCAGGTCTCAGGAAGTGGGCAGTGCTCCTAGGTACACAGATGTCACAAAAGAACACACACACTTCCCACACATGTGTGCCATACATACCCATGCCTTGAACTGTATCTTCAAATCAGTCTCTAGCCTTCATTTTACATTCTCTGTATTTCTCTTTTTCTCTGCTCTCTCTCCCAATCCCCCTTGTTTTGTCTTAATTTGTTTTAAATTGTGGGGTATTGTGTTTTGAATACATTAATGCCAGACAGACTTTAAATTCAACATGTAGCCTAGGACTGTCCCAGATTTCTAATGCTCCAGCCTCCACCACCAAAATTCTGATATTTTATGTATTGTACACCACCAAGTCCTGGAGATGAACTCAGGGGCTCGTGCATAAAATATGATCTTCTCTGTCCTTTAAGATACAGCTGCATCCCCCACCTCATCATTTTCTTATGTTGGGATGATTCGATATTTCTGCATTAAGATCTCTCCACCCTGATTAACATTCCTCTCTTCCTCTGTTTCTCCCTCCATCCCTCCAGGAGGCTAAGTTTCCTTGCTTCTCAATGTTGTCTCTGCCTTTCTTCCATCCCTAAGACACTGCCTTCTTCACCCACAGAGCAGCCTCTTCTTTCCTCTGCCTTGGATGCTCCTCTCTTCCCACCTACTGACCTGGCTGGAAAATGAGCTGATGAGCGAGAAGGTCCGATAGATCACATCCAGTAGGTGCAGGAACTGGCGGTCTTTGTAGTCAAAGCGCTCCCCAAAGACAATGGAGCAGATGATGTTGGCTGTGATGCTCTGGAAGAGGTAAGTAGGATCCAGGGGAGCTCCTGGAGGGTGAGGATGCAGAACAGGAGACAGGGATATAGAACTAGGGAAATATTTGGCTTCAGTTCCATCTCTGTAAAGCTGTCCCTACCACTCACTACTCAACGAACATTTGCTCATATGAAGCACGTAAGAGTCTGGACCCTTCACTCAGAGATGCACACATACTTTTATTTATCTCCCCTCAGTACTGTACAGAATATGGGATGCTATTCATATACACAGAAGGGGAGACACCTTCACAAAGCAACTCAGCTAATCATGACTGGAATTAGGATTCTAGGAACAAGTCATAGAGTGAGTGCAGTCAGTCTGCACCTGTACTATCCTGGCTCTGAACTGACCGCTAACTCCCACGGGCAGAAATGGTGCACAGAAGGGTTCACGGATAGCTGTGTGAATTTACAAACCGTGCACACTTCATGCCCATCTGCAAGTCTTCCTCCATTCCCTCTCTGACTTACTGCATTCCTTCTGTGACCTCCTACATCCCTTCTCTGACTTCCTCCATTCCTTCTCTGATTTCATCTCTCCCTTCTCTGACTCCCTCCATTCCTACTCTGACTTCTTCCATCCCTTCTGTGACTTTCCTCATCCCTTCTCTGACTTCTTCCATCTTTCCTGTCACTTCTGAGCTCTGTGGTGTTCCAGAAGCCATAAGCCCCTGCTGCCTACTGCCTTGGTGTGGCAGGTTCAGTCTTGGACCCTGGTTGTTGGAGGGCTACTGTCAGTCCAAAATTATTGGGGCACTGTTGTCCCTCACCCAAGGATGGCTTGTCTGTGGTCTTTGATCCTATGTGGATCCTTCCTTGGGGCTCAACAGCTTCACTCTCAGCCTTGGAGCTCACTTCTCTCCCTCTGGGTCCCTCCATCACTGACTTTCTCCCATCATTTTCTCAGCCTCTGCAACTTTCTTACCTCCTGACACCTCGCTGAACACTCAGATATCTTAAGAAAGGTCAATAAAAGATGGCAAATACCCAGTGTAAAGAAATGGAGGTGCAAGCATGGTTGTGTACCAATGTGACCTTGGTATAAAGAACCTTAAAGTGCCCAGAGGTCCTCTGAGTTCTATCCAATGAGCCTCTGTGTTCACTGTTGTTCACCAGGACAATCACATGGAAGAAAACACAATTCCCTACTTAGACCACATCTGCAGGCCCTCCTGCTCACTCCCCTTTCATTGAGATAACATCTATGTTTGTCTTTGATAAGACCATGGGCAGAGGAGGGAGCAATGACAAAGGTTAAGACAAAGTGGCATTGAACTCTATGTGCAATAGAAGAGGAACTTGGAAATCTCACCCTCTTGTCTCTACCTCTGGAGTGCTGGGATTACACACATGAAGGACACTGTATATGGTGCTGTAAGCTCTTCACAACTCAGCCACAGCCACATCAAAGGCAGGACCTCACATTGGAGACAGGGCTGGCCTTGAGCTCATGGCCATCTTTCCTCACCTTCTGAGTTCTGAGAGGATGTGTGTTCACCAAAATTATCCAATTGATGAAGAAAATTAACTCACAGAGTGATTTTCTGAAGGGAAGTGACCACCATGGGCAGTATGTTCTTGGAAACAAAATACCTCACATTTCTTTCCTGTCCTTGTGAATCTCTTTCCACTTCTGTCTGTATCTCATCCCCAAACTCACTCTGTCTCTGTGTATCTCTCCCTCTCTGTGTGTGCATGTGTGTGTGTGTGTGTGTGCATGCATGCCTGTCTGTCTGCCTGTCTGTTTCTCTACCCTTGTATGTCTCTTTCTCTTTCTTAGGCTCTGCACTCAGGTCCCTGTGTCACCATCTTCTTTCTTCCCATTCTCTGGAACTCACCCTGGGATTTCTGCAGCTCCTCCACCAGATATTGGGCCTCCTCTTGAATCCGCTCCTCTATACTTCGCTTGCCCATCCCAAAATCTTTCATGGTGGCCAGAGAGAATCGCCGAAGTGTCTTCCAGCGTTCCCCATTAGAAAAGATCATACCTAGGAATGGAGCGGAAGCATTGATGGGTTACAAGGGAAGTTCAAAGACCCTGAGTTTTTCCCCACATATTTGGCTCCACCTCTCACACAACTTCCTGGATGACATCCTCCACTCCTTCCTGTCCCATATCTCACCATGTCCTTGTACAGTTGGGTCAAACACAGCAATTGTCCCCCGGCCAGAGAAAGCCTCAGCTTGGTCCACCAGAGCTTCCCTTATGGCCTCTGTCCCACACAGCATGACCACAGGCCTCGGTCCCAGGTGCACTGTGAACACGTCTCCATATTTTTTTTGAAGCTGCCAAGCATAAGGGTACAAGGGTTGTGGTTAGTTGGTGCAGACGTTGTTGTTACACTGTGAAAACACTTAGACACAGACTGGTAAACAGGAACCCTTCTGCTGGCCACCCTTTCTCTCCTGAGGACCTAAGAGGTGAAGGTTAATTCTCCAGACAGACAGGGTCTGCACTGATTGGTTGGATTTTCTAATCAGTACACCAGCACTGTAGAGTAGGGAGACACGGAAACACTTGTTTATAATTCTGGAACAAGAGAAGTAGAGACCAGAGAATCAGTAGTCATCCTTGTCTGCACATCCAGTTTGAAGCCAGTCTCGCCTGCACATGACCCTACCTCAAAAATAATAGATACAGATGTGGATGCAGATGTGCATTAGTTCCGTGCCCATACTTTTCAGATGAACCATGCTTCCTGTGGTCCAGCTTCAGCCTGTCCAAGGCCTCCTGACAACATTCATAGAGAACAGTCCTGACCCACCCACTGGTTTACATGGGAAGGAAAGTGATAGTCACCTAGTAGTGGTCCTGAATGTGAGTCATGACTGCAGTTTGGACAGTTAGGGAAATACCCAACCATGCAACCATCAGGGCATCTACAGGGAATTGGTGTCAGAAACATGACAACCTCCCAGTGCTCAGAGCCCTTGAGGACCATCATGTGGGGTTTGCAAATAACCCTCCCTCTTTTGTAACTTTTACTCTCTCTAGATTGCACTGCAGCTAATAGAAATGAAAAGCTATGAAAATGGTCAGTGTCCAGTGTTGTTTAGAGGACATGCTAAGATAAAGCTCTGCATATGTTTGATGTGATGTATTTATGTTTTTGGATGGGGTCACATCATCGAATCTTATGCAACGATGTACTTACAAACCTCAGACCAGATCAATGGTGTAAGTGAAACTTGCCAACTTAATGCTACATATAAGCCAGTTTTGTTTCCATCTTCTGCATCTAAATGATGTTAAAACACAGATGCAGTTGATGGTGTATCGGGATAGTGGGAGGTAGTGACTACAAGGGGCTGAGACAGGGACCAGTCATGATGTTAAACATCAGTCGTAAGAAAGTGCTCATTTAAAAAATTCATGGAGGTGGGCTTCTTGAGAGGTGACTCAGTGTCCAACAACATCTTAACTCAAAACTTAATAGTTGGAACAGGAGAGGTAGCTCAGTGGCTAAGAGCACTGCTGTTGTTGCAGAGGCCCTGAGTTTTGTCTTACCTCCCATGTCAGATAGCTAAAAACTGCCATGAATGCCAGCTTTTTGGGATTTGATGACCTCTTTGGTTTCTTCAGATACCAGATATGCATAAGGACCATTCACAAACACATTCACACAAACACGAATATGATGAAGATGATGATAATGAAGATAGATAAATTGATAGACAGATAATACACGGATATAAAGATATTAGATAGATACATAGATAGATTGGCAAATAAATAGCGGATGCACAGATAGATGATACAGATCATTTGCTAACATTGTAATTTGGGCTCATCAGATAAGACTACTTGCTACAGAGTTGTGATGACCAGGATTTGGATCTCATCACCAATATAACAAGCTGAGGTATTCATACATACCTATGACTCCCGAGGAATGAGTTAGAATGTGAAGATAGAAGGATTCCCTGGGCTTGTTGACTTCCAGATTCAGTTCCAGGGAAGCCTGACTGGAGGAAATGGACAGATTGACAGAGGAGGACACCTGGCACCCTCCTCTGGTCTTTGCCTCCATGAACAGGTTTGTGTCCCCAATTAGCAATATACTCACACAGACAAGACAGACATGGTCATAAATAAGAGTGGTTTAAAAGTTATTGTTAAGGTTTCTTTAAAATGCTGTGCACTTCCCTCTGCAAGCCCCTTCCTGGTTCCCTACTTCTGCTCTTACATCCACAAGAATGGTTTCACTACAACCCAAATCACTGCATTCAGTGAAACACACCTTACTTAATACCCTGAACCTTCCTCAAGCACCTCACTGTACCCTTGCTGCTGAAAATAAAACCAGACTCTCTATCATGATCATACCTCTGTACCTGAACTTATCCCATCTGTCGTGGTGCCTCATTAAATCTTGTTTATGGGTGTTAGGACTTGAAGGGGAACAGGGTCAGGGAGCGACATGGAGCTGGTGTCAAAGAGGAACAAGGGAGAAATGGGGAAGCAGAGGACTGATTTATTTTTAGGATGAGGCTGAAAAAAATGTTCACCCAATATAATAGCATCATTACATAGAGTGCTGGTGGCCATGTAAGAGGTCAGGTAGCAATTGAAGCCCACGGTATCAGCTCAGTGGGGAGAAACTCTCTCATGGGTCAAGTTGGACAGGTAAGACCCTGAGATCACAGACTCATGAGCATGTTTTGTTTTTGCTGTGCCTTTTCATGCTTGTTGCTTGTCTTTTTCTGTTATCTGGCACTGTGTGAATGACTGTGGGGAGATCCCCACTGTTTGTGAAGTTGTGTGTTTATATCATAAAAACATTCCATTCTACTGGGCAATTCTTATCTGTGAGTTGTCAACCCTAAACTGTACTATCTAATTGATATAACAATGATAACTTATTCGCAGTGTTGAAGAAAAGTAAATATAAGGAAATGTGACAGAGCTAGGGCCTATGTGTGGCAGCATTCCTGCTGGGCTACACCTGGTCCAGCTCCAGAGTGATAGTACCTAGCTTTATCCATCTTTTATTAGCAAATAACCTTTTTTCTTTTAACTCTTGTTGCCCTTTGTCTGAGAGTTTCCCATGGGTACAAAGCCTATGAAAAACATGGTTAGAAGGGAACCCTGAAAACTGTGGTTCGTCCTGAATCAGGTAATTTCTTTTGCATCATCTCTTTAGAGGCCCAGTCAGGATGTTTTGAGGATATGGACATGTACTTGCTAGGTGAAAATTGGAGAACAATAAAGGAGCCCTGGGCAAAGGGAAAACAGTCATTCCTGAAGGCTGAGTCCTGAAGGCTGAGTCCTTAATGTTGAGTATTGATGGATCAGTCTTGTAGGTTCTCTAGAGAGACTGACCCGCCCTGTAGCCAAGAAAGGCTAAATTCATTCTTAAGGCATCTCTGAGTCTTCATTTCACAGACCCATGGGAACCCACACCCCTGAGCTGTGACATCCACAACACCTATGAGTTTCACTTATGTAGCTGTATAGATCATAGCTCAAGCTAATGATAAAGAGAAACAATAAATTCCCAGGAGCCAGGCTGGCTCAAATTTCTTCAATTTGATGCTAAAAGACACAGTCACAAGTTTATGTGTGCACCATTAACCAAAACAAAACTTTTTTTTTTTTTAAATTTTTCGAGACAGGGTTTCTCCGTAGCTTTTTGGTTCCTGTCCTGGAACTAGCTCTTGTAGACCAGGCTGGCCTCGAACTCACAGAGATCTGCCTGCCTCTGCCTCCCGAGTGCTGGGATTAAAAGCATGCACCACCACCGCCCAGCCAAAATAAAACTTTAAAACTATTTCAGGTTAAATTGTATGTTTTGATAACAGCCTTAAGATGAAAAGCCCCAGAAAACAATATAATGTTCAGAAAAACACAGAGCTGAGTTGCAGATTCACAAGGTTAGGGTAAAAAACACAAGGCAGCCCAACTGCTGCTGGCTGACACACTTTCCTGGCTAGGGCTGATTGGTAATCAAAAGTTATGGTTAACTCCTTATACTCATTCCTGCCCTATATGTCCTGATATAAGAAACTATTGATGGGTGGATATGTACCCTAAAGATTTAAAGTACAGCTGACTGGTTTTCACACATAAAAGTTTAGATTTGTGATTCCTTTAAGATTTCTTATAAAATTGTCCCTCAAGATAAATAATAGAACAATTGCTGTTTTTCTTTGTAATCACAACGTGTAGCCTGCAAACAAAAGAGTTGGCTGAGATAAAATACTTTCTGCTTGCTCCTGTTCTGTTAATCTAACAAGTTACTTGATGTAAATGTAAGTGGGATACTGGGATGACTTTGTTTTCAATTGTGTAAAGGTGATAAAAAAACATGGTTTTACCTGTATTTCTTATAATCATTCAATTGAAATATAGAATGTAACCACATTGTGATTCCTGTACTGCCTGAGAAGTTTGTTGGGTTATATAAGCCATAGGAAAAGGTATACAGTAGACAGAAGACAAGAAGAATAGAGAATAAAGAAGGAAACCATTGAGAGAGTGTGTCTTTCTCCCTAGCTCCCTTGGGTAGATAAATCTTAGGTCATGCCAATGCCATTGTTTCTTTTGGAGCCCTATGCTTTGGGAGACAGGTTCCCCAAGCAGCAATAATAGAGTTGATTCATTAAAGAAAAATGATGTAGGTGGGTCTTCTATCTATCTGTTGTTTCATTGGTTAATTAATAAAGAAAACTGCTTGGCCTGATAGGTCAGAACATAGGTGGGTGGAGTAGACAGAACAAAATGCTGAGAAGAAGGGAAGTAAGGCAGACACAATGAAGCTCTGACCCAAGGTGGATGTAGGCTAGAATCTTCCTGGTAAGCCACCACCTTGTGGTGCTACACAGATTACTAAATATGGGTTAAAGCAAGATGTGAGAATTAGCCAATAAGAGGCTGAAACTAATGGGTCAGCCAGTGTTTAAATGAATAAAATTTGTGTGTTGTTATTTGGGGGCATAAGCTAGCTGGTGACCGGGAGTTGGGTGATGGGAAGCGGCCCTCCTCATCACTACAAAAAATTAAAGCATTATTTTGACACTATAGTATGCTGGCGATTTCTAATCCTGTTAGTAGCTTTGATGGTCCAGCTCCTTTCTATCTCTACTACTGGCCAAAAGAATGTTGTCATTAAGACTCAGTCTCTGTAACAAACACACCATGATTAAAGCCCACAAAACCATCTTACATCAACACAGATGCCTAGAAGAGATCTCAGCTTTTTGAGCCACCAGAGAATTTTTCAAGAAACATTCCAGAAGGCTTGCCAGTTGCACATGGGTTTGGACCTTATGGAACTGACACAGCCTTTAGCAGCTGTATTTGAGTCAGGCTCCTGGCTCATCCACAACACACTTAAGAGAGCCAAGCTGGTTGTGTCTGGGTTTCACCACAGGATATCACCACCACTTCATATCCAAAGGCATCTGTCTAGACCAGCTGCTCTTTCCTCTTGCCTGTTCCATGTGCAATGCCTTCATTGATGCTCTGCTGTTGATTTAGTCCCCAATATGGTTGTGTTGAGAAGTGTCAGAACCCTTGGGAGCTGAAATCTAGTGAGAGGCACTGGGTCTTTGGGGGCAGATCCATAGAATAGGTTAATGCTGGTCTCACAGAGAGGACTGGATTCTCAGAGAATGGATTACAATACAAGGCCATTCTACATGATCAGCCTCTTCTGCATGTTACAGGCTTTCCTGCATTGTGACACATAAGACGTTTTCTCACTAGAGGCTGGAAGAATGGATTGTTTGATCTTACACTGTCACACTGCACAAGTTTGAGTAGGATAAGCCTTTAATTTATAAAGAATTTAACCTCTCTAATTTTTTGTAGAAACAGAAAAGAGATGAAGACATGAGAGATTTTTTTTCTCTTGCCTGCTTAGTTGAATCACTTCAGTTCTTACCATCTTTGGCTCACACCACGCCAGTTCATTGCTATGACCTGAAGATTCAGTGCCAGCTTCTTTCCTGTCACACCATGATCTCCCCCATCTGGTTCTACTCTTTTCCTAATACCAGCTGCTGCTCAGGAATGGCTTCTTTTCCATACCTGTCATCCTTCTAGAAAGTTTTTGTGGTTTGTTCAAGTCCTGTCTCTTACGTAATTCTGTCTGAACACTCAACCAATCTTAAAATTCCTATTGATGTGGGATTCCCTTATGAATGCTGTTAATACCATTGGTTAATAAAATAACTGTCTGAAACCCATAGTAAAATAGAACAGATCTAGGTGGGGAAAACTAAAACCGAACACTGGGAGGAAGAAGGCAGAGTTAGGGAGAAGCCATGGAGCCTCTGGAGACAGACGCTCGGAACTTTAGCTGGGAAGCCACAGCCTCATGGGGATACCCAGATTACTAGAAATGGGTTAAACTAAGATGGAACAGTTAGACAATAAGAAGTTATACCTAATGGGCCAAGCAGTAATTTAATTAATACAGTTTCTGTGTGATTATTTTGGGGCTGAGCAGCCAGGAACCAACAAGCAGCTTTTTCCTACACCTTATTGTTTTGCTTGTATCCAATATCACCCAAATGAGCAGATAACTTGTGTAGTTGAATTTTATGAGTTTATTATACATCTACAAACAGAGTCTTATCTCCTGACAGTTAGAAAGTCAGTTCAGCTCCAAGACTTCCAAGTCCATTGAATTGTGGATTTGAACAGTTCTTTAAGGAGTTCTGTAAAGTTTAGAAATTCCCTTCCTAGAGCACATTACCAACCTCTGGGAACCTTGTTTGCAGGACATGATGACTATCCCTACAGGAAAAGATGCAGCATGTCATGCTATCATGACAGGATGTCACCAGCCCTCCCTGTGAGTCTCTGGGCAGTTAAGTATGCTGGGGGAAGTGCCACTTTCTTCAGTGATGTAGCTGTTCATAAGTTGCTCACCTTCAACTCAATTGCCCCCACATCCATACTCACTCAGGCAACCATAGTTACCTCCAAGTAAGAAGGGCCTTCAGACACAGAGAAGAGGAGAGGAAAATGAGAAATGAAGGAATTAGACTTTCAAGGAATAAAAAATAATTCCAGCACTGAGAAGGCAGAGGTCGGTGGATCTTGATGAGTTTGAGTCTCTCTACAGAGTGAGTGAGTGACAGGACAGCCAGGACACTTTCACAGAGAAACCCTGTCTCAAAAAAAAACAGGAAAAAAGAAAAGGAAAATAACAACAACAAGGCAAACCAACTAACCAACCAAACAAACAAAAAGAATAAAAAATAAATATGATTTTATTTGACCTTTCCAATATATAAGGAACACATTTTTAAAACACTTGTGACCAGGTTTACCACACATCTTTAAATCCAGCATGTGAGATGTTAACTCAGAAGGATCATTAGCCTGAGAAACAAGAATGATCTTCTCTCTCTCTCAAAAAAAAAAAAGCCAAATGAATACACCATTTGTCCAGGTGGGTGATGAATTAAAATCTAAGGGGTAGCAGGAGTTGAGATTGCTGTCACTAAATCAGATCTCTAAACAGGAACTGGAGCCAAACAGGTGCTAAGTGATTATTAATAAAGAAGTGTTAATTGAACATAAAATCTCAATTGTGAAGACTACTAGAGATGGTTTCAGGGTCGGCTCCTTAGGTGGTCCTTGTGTTTATAACTGATAAACACTCCCTACCTACCCCACCTCCTGACCTGCCTCTCATCCCCTTTGTTCCTGAATACATCAGACAAATCTCTTATCTGTGGGTGCCTGTGACACTTTTCTTTCTCTTTTGAAACAAAGAAATATCAGATAGGAAAACTGTAAGACTTTGGTGCATGCCATGACACCCCAACACCATTCACACTCCAAGCACAGTGTCTCACAGTGTCCCACAGTGAGGACACACCTGTCAACCTGAGGACCATCCACCACCAACCAGCAACTCACCTTTCACTCAGCAATCTTCCCACCAGAACCTACTGCCTGGAAGGAGTTCCTTCTTCACCCCAAATGAGTAATCTTCAGGAGCAAACATGGGGCTAATCCCATATGGCAAAGGCCATGTGCATGTCTTACCTGAATAAAGGAGTTGAGGAGGCCTCTTCTGTCCATCTGAAGGAGGTTTCCCAAGAGGGGCAGGGGACGGGGTCCTGGTGGAAGGTGGCCACGAGCCTTTGGGTAGCCCCTGATCACGAGTAGTAAGAAGCCCACAAGAAGAGCGAGGAGGAGCAGGACACTGGGCTCCATGGTCCTTGTCTGAGCACTGTCCACTTCACTGCACACTCCAGCAGGACTTTATGCTGAACCTGGATCTCAACCCAGTTGAGCAACTTCAGTTGTTCCCGCCTCCTGTCTCCTCACTGTCCAGGAGTGTGATTACCATACTTCCTGCTTGGGCAGTCAGTGACTTGCTCACTCACTATCTTCTTACCTCCACCCTAACCCTAGAACATCATGAAACAGATACACAGGACAAAGGGCATAGGGAGTAATGTGTCTCAATTTCTGAGGGTGAGTATACATATGCCAGCTCAGTTCTGTTTGTTTATTTTCTCAGACATGGCCCTATGCATGTTTACTGTGTGCTTTATATTTAAAAAGTCATTTCTAATATGAAAATGCAGTTTGATGTTTCTGTGTTAGGGTCTAGATTACTTTCTAACCTACTCTTGCGTATCTGGGAGTGTGTTTGCATATATAATCTTAAATTGAGGAGGCCTATCTGTATGTTCTTAGATTTATATGTAAATGTATTCACATTTAAATAAGAGAAGTGTGTTGCATGATCCTGTGTGTGTGTGTGTGTGTGTGTATGTGTGTGTGTGTGTGTGTGTGTGTGTGTGTCTGTATAGTCCCCGGCCTAAGGCTCCAAAGAGCTGAAGATGAAATTTCTTGAGTCCCCATGGTATCTCTGGCAGGTGATGGCCAAAACTGAGAGAGATAGGAGAAGCAAGAGATGCAGGAGTGGGGAGATTGGGAGCCAGGAGGAGAGAGCCTGAAACCTGGCAAAGGAGCCTCTTGAAGCCCTGGGCAGCTGTGATGGGTAGCTTTATTGTCAACTTGATACAAGCTCGGGTCATTTGAGAGGAAGAAACTTCAGTGGAGAAAACAAGCCCATAAAATCACCCTGTGGTCAATCCTGTAAGGCATTATTTTTAGTTTTGTAAATGGAGACTGCTCATTCATTTTCTGCCCACACAGACTGGAATAATCACACAGAAACTATATTAACTACAGCACTGTTTGGCCAATAGCTTATACATATTCCTAGTTAGCTCTTACATCTTAAATTTACCCATCTCTATTAATCTGTGTATTACCATGATGCTGTGTCCTACCAGTAAGTTTCTGGCATCTCCCCTACTCCGCCTTCTTTCTCCATGCATTCAGTTCATTTTCTCTATCTAGCTCTATTCTCCATGCCATAGGCCAAAATAGCTTAATTATTAATAAAACTTATTTATATTATACAGAGGTGAATCCCACATCATTAACTTTTTCTGTCTAAATACAAAGGAAGGTTTTTAACTTTAACATAATAAAATTACATATAACAAAACATTTATCAAGAAAGAATTACAACTACAATTTTTTGTCTATTTGTAACTGCAAAGTTTCATATCTAATTTATGTTTTATCATAACTAAGAAAAACTGTAACTATCTGCCTTCAACTCCATCAAAGTTCACAGAAGGATATAATATTGTCTAAGTAATCATTAAATGCATTGTAAGCAACTTCTAAAACTCTAGAATTGACAGAGACATCTCGCTGCCTAGAGAGTCATCTAAAGTGCTTCTGTAAGGTTTGAGTATTCATCTTTAGTCTACAGGCCCATAATATCTGGTTGTCTTTTCCATGAAGCAGAAAATTTGAAAGACTATATTGCCTATATTGGCAGTTTGTCAGTCATTTTATTCCGTGTTCTGCGAAATGTCTGACAGGCTCTGTCATGAAGCAGGAACCCTGAAGGACTGTCTCACCATTTTTGGACAAGTTCAGCAGTCATTTTTCTCTGGGTCCTGCATGTCCAATTCATGCAGCATAGCATCAAGCAGTTCAGGCAAGAGCAGTTTCTTGCCCAAATGGCTAGCCTTGCCATATTGAAGGCAAATTCCATAATGAGTTTCTTCAATGACTAATAACCTCCCTGATGTAGTTGGTGCTGCTAGAAGCAGAAATATCTTACTGTTGAGAAAGTCTAAGTTCTTAAAATATTTTAAGTGCCATATTCTGTTGCTGTTTGAAGTGTTGAAGATTATCTATCTAACTGAAATGTATTCTGTATATCTAGTAAATGTAACTAACATGACTATAGGTTTGACTATTATAAATGACTATCTATGAATCTGTAATTTTAAATTACACATTTAACTTTAAATGAGCTGCACAAGCATGATAAGTTAAATAAGAGCAGAAATAAATATACTTAGTCTAATGTAATCAGTCATGAGTTTGTATCAATTGTCCAAGATCCATACTAATGCAAAGTATACATAAAATATACTATATTACCCTTTTTTAAAAAAAGAAATTGACGGTGACTATAAAGTATTTATACCCAACCCCTTTTAAATAAAAACAAGCATTTATAAACAATCATTTTGAGAATCTGGGTGTTGTTTGCTCCAAACTACTTCCTGCTGCTTGTGGGCTAAGTATTTTTAGAGTTCTTGGAGACATTTCAGGGGATCTTTTTCATCAACCCACATTAGCTTGGAAGGAATTCACAGATTCTAATCTTCTGTGGTAACAAAAGCAGAACCTCCTTTTTAAAAATATTGTATCTTTAGACTCAAATTTTGAAGTCAAGATACTTTTAAAATACATATGTTGGTTTAGCATTGCAGCCCCCAGAATCAATTTTTTTTTCAGTTGTTAGCTCATTAGCAGTCAAAAAGATCCAATGAAAACACAATAATATACATAGTTTGGACTCTATGTATATTTTATATCTTTACATGCCTTTTTATTCTCTATTACTTTTTAATATTTATTTTATCATCTTTACTCCTTTAATCTATGACTGTCTGTACTCTTTCTTCTCTCTCTCTCCAAAGCCCATATACATTTATTCAGAGGTCTTTTTCACCTGAATCTGTCTTATTGTGTATCTGTAATCATTTTCTGAACAGGAGAACTTTTTTTGTTCAAATCCTAAGCAGGTGTGGCTAGGACTAATACTAAGGCTTTGCCTGTAGGCTCTCCCAATTCAACAAGGCAGAGGTATGTTTACCACCACTGCAAGCCATTCTTACCACCCCAGTACCATCAAGCAGTTTGTAACAAGCTGCTCACAGACCCCTTTTAAGTGCTGAACCTCCCAACAGAGCCAGAGCCATTTGTGATACTACTAGAAACCAGAAAGCCATTTCTTAAAGAAGGTGGGAATGTTTTTGCTATTTTTTTTGCTGATAATGCTAAGTCAGGAGGCCCTCTCTTCAAGGAGTTGTGCCTCTACTTACCACCACCAAACAGAGTCAATCTAACAATATGCAGCTACCAAGAGGCTCTAATGGACTCCCATTTTTGTTGGTCTAGAAGCCCTTTCTTCATGTTTTCTGAGGCTTTTTATGGATGCATATTGCCAAATATTTGGGTGCCACTTTGTAAATGAAGACTGCTCATTCATTTCTGGGCTACCCAAACCCAAATAATCAAGCAGAAACTATATAAATTGGCCAATAGCTTAGGCATATTGCTAGCTAGTGCCATGATTCTGCTGTTTTTCTCTCTGCATTCAGATTAGTTTTCTCTGCCTAGCTCTATTCTACCATGCTATAGGCCAAAGTAGCTTCTTTATTAATAAAATATATTCACAGATGCAAAGGAGAAGACCACAACATTAGTGATTGATGGGGAGTGACCAGCCACTTATGGTGGTGCTGCCTCTGAGCTGATGATCCTGGGTTCTATAAGAAGGTGGATTAAGCAAGCCATGAAGAGCAAGCCAAAAGCAGCACCTCTCCATGGCCTCTGCATCAGCTTCTGCCTCCAAGTTCCTACCCTGACTTCCCTGGATGATGAACTGAAAGTTGGAATATGATCAAAATAAACACTTTCCTTTTTAAGATGCTTTTTTCCATGCCTTTTCACACATAAAATACATTCATTCCATACCAATAAGCCCCAAGTTTCATTTTGCTGACAATCTTTCACACAACTATTTATGTTGTAGACTTTATTATCTATCATTAATTTGGGAAAATATAAACTGGTAAAAATGTATATAGTTCATGTATATGGATGATGGAAGGTTGTACACATGTCTATGGCTTAGATGAGAATTTATCTTTTCTCTGTCATAACTTGTTCTTATCCTGATATCTACAAAAGAATTGATGACAAATGAAGAAATGACAGGTCATGTTGACTCATCTCCAGAAGAAAATCAGGGAGACATTAAGAAAGAACCACATAAACAAAATTGGCATCTATAGAACCTTTCAAATTACAGAGGCATTATATGTCAAAATTGACTGAAAATGTAGCTCAGTTGGTAGAATGCTTGCCTAGAGTGTACAGAGTTCCAGATTTAATTTTTAGCATTACATTAAATTAGTGTGGTAGCACTAAATTACAGAAGCATTATAGGACAAAATTATCTGAGGATGTGGCTAAGTTGGTAGTCTTTACCCAGAATTCATGAAGTTCTGAGTTTTATCCTCAACATGGCATTAAGTGGTTGTGATGGCACATTTGTACAATCCTGTCACTCTGAAAATGGAACAGGAATTTAATATTATTTTAAATACATAATTATCACATTTTCAGAAATAATGACTTCCCCCAAGTATTTTCTATAAAAGAAATTTCAATTATCCAGAACCCCAAACCATCAACATCATCATGACTCAGTGACTAAGGATGACTCCACACATATGGTCCTCCTGATAGATCAGCAGGTCCTCAGGCTAATCTTGCACCATAATGGATTCCCTCTTTTAGAGACAATGTCTAATATAGATCTTATTGAACTTGGACTCACTTTATATCCAAGGATGACACTGAGCTTTTGGTCCCCCTGCCACCAACTCCCAGTTGCTGGAAATACAAGCTTGAAGCACATGGCCATCTCAAGGAATGCTGAGGATGAAAACCAGGGTTTCATGTAAGCTAGTCAGTCAGAACTCTTCCAACTGTGCTACATCCATTGCCTCCATAATTTCTGTTTTGTTGCTTTGTTTTGTTATGGAAAGAGTCTCACACTGTCTGGCTTTGAACTTCTGGTCTTCCCAGTTCTCAGGATTAGAGCTTTGTGACAACACAACCAGTTATTTGTTCTCAGTCTCACTTTAGCCTCAGAATGGCTTTTCACTTCTGAAGATGCTGGATTTGTAAACTAACATCACCATGCCTGGCCTATATATTGGGTATTTTTTTTAA